GTTTGCAATCGTCGGCTCTATTTTATCCCCGGGTACGCGCGGAGGGTTGTCGTCGGACACAAAGTATGTTGACAACACACTTGGGCAGGGAAAGGAGTGACGGGAAACAAAAGAGGGGAAGGGTTCAGACCAGGTGGAGAGGAGAGAAGTCCGCCTGCTTCACTCGATGCTTAGCGGGCCTATGGTTGTGCTTGCTACAAGTTCGCGAAGCCCCCGGGTTGCCGGCAAAGGAGGTCAGACGTCTTGATCAAAGCGTGCGTACAGCGTATCAAAGTCCCACTTTTTCAACTTTAGTGGCTTGGGACATGCGCAGCGGCGCGCAACCCGCTAAAGGCACAGGCTTCCTCCCATCTCATCGTTATTCGACTCGTATTCACCGTTCCCATCTTCCAACTGTGTCGCGTGCCCATCCTCGTTGAGCACGCGACCACCACAAAATGGTGCTGGCGCCACTGCACAGCAACACCGCGGCAGCATCAACGAAGTAGGCCAAGCCCCGGGAGTAAGCACAAAGCATTGTGACGTCAATTGCTCATTTCGTCGGGGCGCAGTTGGCCCGTAGAGGGAAGGAAGCATCCAAGTGACTGCTCGCCTAAATGCCACCCTGTCTGGTTGGCCGTAACCGCATCTTATGACAATGCGATTCCTACAATGCCGTCGTTGCTACTGTACTCGGTGCCCTCAACACTGCCTCTTTCTACTTGGCAGCGCAGCGGATTGATGAGGATATGGCCATTGCTATTGCGGCAGTAATCGGATGCGGCCCATTACTCTTCCGTCCGGAAAACCACCCACAGTGCAGCCGCTCCGTACTCCGCCCCTGAGCGCGAGGAAACTTGAGCGAACATTCGGACAACGATGGCCGGCTTTCAAGCTATTGCTTGATCTTCTAAGACGGGGCCGCAATGGAAGCGGATTTGCTTGGCGAGCAAAGGCGGTAAGGCGTGCCCATAATAAGCATCGTCTAAAAGTACCGGTGATACCTCCCTACCCGAAGCCCCTAACTACGTTTCAGCCCTGGCGTTTTCGTACGAGACCCAAGTTATACGAGAAACACACACGTCGACGTTTGTTCACCGCATCCGACCCATCTGCGTCTCGCAGAATCTTTCCTCTGATGCCAGGCAGCCAGGAACCAGACGTTTTGGCCACCTTTTTCTATTAGGAAATCAAACACATCTTCGCAGCCAGCACCGGAATGAGTCTAGCAGAGCACAATAATCTAACATTAACATAGGCTTTGAGATTACCTCAGTCATGGTATATGCTATTGTAGCAGCCAACATGTTTTGTTTTTTCTCATGCGGGGAGATGCTCAAGACTGCTTAATACTTGCATCATCGTTTCGATGCTCTTGGTCGCTATAGCCCCATCATACGAGTCCATCCTTTACTGGGAAAAAAGAACGTCCATCACTGCTTGGTGAACATTCTCGACCTCGGACGATGTCGCACCCGAGACCTAGAGTGTCATGAAACCAAGAGACCCCCGACTGCAAATTCTGCAAACGCACGCTCGGAGGTGCAATGTCTAAACAGCTCCCTGAACATTTTGACATCATGTCGGTCTCCGAACGTCGTTGTGGCTTGGGCCTGAGGCTCGTGGCTGCCATGACACCCGGACACTTGCCCGTCTTGGGCTGCTGAAACCTTGTCCGCATCACAACCCCAACACGCATACATGCGTCCCCGCTGATGAAGCGAGCCTCAACACTGCAATACTCCTGCAGCCTGACTTGCTACATACTCTCCGACGGTTCCTGTCAGGCCAAGACTTTGGCGAGCGGATCCAGGCTTCGCTGCCTCTTCCTCGTCAGGTACGCATCTGATTGGTCGATCGCAGCGTGCGCCTCATCGCGAACATGGATTTGGCCCGGTAACGTCCATGCCAAGCACTGTCAATGCTGTCTACACAGTGGAGAGGCAGCTGTAAGTGTTCGAGACGGGTGGGGGAACAGCGTCGTCGTCACCCTGCCTAGGCGCCTAACCGCCCCCAGGCATCCTCGACATGGCGAAAACGATGCCGGGAATCCATCAAACACTACCAAGTGTGGAACTGCTCCAGATGATCTGTTTGCTTCTAGGGGTATGTCCTGAGTCTCCTCCATGCCGAAGGAACCGGGCAAGGTACATATATCGCGAAACCCCGAGCCTCATAACTTCTGCCCACTCTCACATCAAGTCGTCTTCAAACACCTACCTTCTTTTCTTCAAAGTGCCGTGCACTAGTGTTTAATTTTATTGAGCTGAGCTCTTCATTCTCTCTTTTCCCGTCGTAATAACGAAGACTCAAGTTTCATTCCTGTCCTTTTAGATTCACCCAAATCACCCATAATGAAGACGATATACCCCCTTCTCACCCTCCTTTCAGCGGCTGCTGTCGCTGCTGGCCCTCTTCCCCGGAATGTCGACATTCCGTCGAGGGTTGTGGCGCGTACCGAACACATGGGCGAGGCTGCGCCCGCTCCAGCAGTTGACCCTGCTAAGGCAGCCGCCGACGCTATGGAGTCCATGCACGTAGCAGAAGCAGAGGCCAAGGACAAGGCGCACCAGGAAGCTGCTGCGAAGATGGAGGCCGAACATCAAGCCAAGGCTGAAGCAGAGGAGAAGGCTCATCAAGAAGCTGCGGCGAAGATGGAGGCTGAACACCAAGCGAAAGCGGAGGCAGAGGAGAAGGCTCACCAAGAATCTGCCGCTGCTATGGAAGCCATGCACGTGGCCTCCGAGATGGCCAAGGACGCCGCTCACAAGGCCTCTGCAGATGCTATGGAGTCCATGCATGCCGCTTCTGAGAAGGCCAAGGATGCCGCTCACAAGTCTTCTGCGGATGCTATGGAGGCCATGCACGTATCTCAGGAAATGGCCAGTATCTCAGCCGCAGCCACCACCACTGAGGAGGTTGCAGCAACAACTACAGCCGAGGCAATCACTCACGAGACTGTTGCACCGATGACTACGGCTATGGTCGAACAGCCCCCCGCTCCTATGGTCACTGAACACCCCATGCCACCTCCTGCGGCTGAGATGCCACCACCACCACCACCTGCGGAGATGCCCGCTGAGATGCCTCCACCAGCCGAGATGCCTGCACACGAGACTCAAGCAGCACCCGAGCATACCATGATGCCACCACCACCTGCTGCCGAGATGCCTCCACCAGCTGAGATGCCGCCTCAGGAGACTCAGGCCGCACCAGAGCACACCATGCCGCCTCCCGCTGCCGTCACTGTCGTTCCTGAAGCCCCTGCCGCCGGTAACATGTCCATGACCCACGCTGCACCACCTGCACCCATGGTCACTGAGAGTTTCTCTTTGGTAATGGGGGAGGCTGCGAACGCCACTGCTTCTGCCAACATGACCGTTTCCGCCACCGAGACTGCTGCTGAGCCTGCGGCGACCGAGGCACCGGGCGCAGCTGAGGAGGAGCAGAAGAAGATGGAAGAGGAGCAGAAGAAGGCTGAGGAAGAGAAGAAGGCCGCTGAGGAGATGGCAAAGCAACAAGAGGAGGCCGACAAGAAGGCCGCTGAGGAAGAGAAGAAGGCGCAAGAGGAGGCAGACAAGAAGGCTAAGGAAGAGGCCGACAAGGCTGCCAAAGAAGAGGAGAAGAAGGCTGCCGAAGAAGAGAAGAAGGCAGCTGAAGACGCTAAGGCTAAGGAGAAGGCCGACGCTAAAGCCGCTGAGGAAGAGAAGAAGAAGCAGGAAGAAGCTAACAAGAAGGCGGCCGAGGAAGAGAAGAAGCAAGCTAACGAAGACGCCAAAGCCGCCGAAGAGGACAAGAAGAAGCAAGAGGAAGAGGACAAGAAGGCACAGGAGGGTGAAGCCGAGCAGCAAGACGGAGCTGAAGCCGACGACAAGGAAGACGCCGCCCAAGAGGACGACAAGAAGGATGAGGGAGACAAGCAAGACGAAGCCGCCGACGCCGAGCCCGTCGCTGCTGAAGAGCAGAACGACGACGCCGCAGCACCAGCCCCAGCGGCAGAGTCTGGCGACGCCGTTGTCGAGTATCCTGCTGGTTTCCTTACCTCATCTCGTCGCCGCGACGAGATCGCCAACATGCCCGTCAAGCGCGGTATGAAGGCTGTTGCGTTCTGAGTTGACCGAACGATCTCCTCCGGGTTGTACCCATGGGTGTGCATCTGGACATGCACGGGTATTAGAACATGTTTGAATATGTAGTGTTTAGAATAGATACAAGAATCGCTCATAGCATCAGCTCCATTGTCTTTGTTCTCGTGTCTACCATTGCTTTCCTTTCTGTCTTGCTTCATCTACTGTCCAGTCTCGAATGAACCCAGACATTGCCTGACTGACTAGAGATCAAATGAGGACCTATCTTTTCGACTCTCTGTTCCTATTTCTTTGCTGGTGTATCTTTGCTTCTCTGATATCCGAAGGGTATCTCAACCCTGTACCTATGAGGACTAGGCATCCTTCTTGTTGGCTTGGGACGAATGATGGGCTTTTCCATCGAGTCCTTTTCCTCAGCGGTAGGGGCGGAACGAATGTTCGAGGAAGTGTTGACCCATGCGCTTTGTGTTGGGACAATTGAGTCCAATTCCGAGCTAGCATGCTGTGAATGTAAATGTGGAGGCGAAGCTGCGTTTGTTTGCAAGTTTGCTTGCTCTTCAGACATGATAGCGCTGGTCGTTGGAGCTGACATCGCCGTACCCTGGGTTTGATCACCACTTGTAACAACGTCATTACTCTCGGGGACGCTATCCTCATCGCTCTTATGGCCTCCACGTGGATCGTGCTGATTGCGGGACCCCACAAAGTCCCATAAGCTTGCTGAGTGTCGATCCTCTTGTGGCCGACGATATGTTGACAAAGCTTGCGACGGATTGGTTAATGACCGTCCGATCAGTGAAGACAGCTTTTTGGTAGGCCGGCTTGGGTGTACCGCTCTTGCCAGTCGATTCCTCACTCTCGGGTCTGGATGAGCTGCCGCCATGTCTCGAGCAGATTTTCCTTCTACAACAGCATCGGGGTCTGCACCACGCACTAGCAATGCTTGAACAATTTGAAAGACATCTTGATGCAGCTCCCTCTTGAGGACGCTCTCTTTACAGGCGTCAAGCGAGATAACACCTTGTAGTGCTGAGTCAAGATAGCTTGTTTGCTGGAGTTGTAGTCGTCCTCTGATTTGTAGAAGATGACTGACAACCATAGCGAGCTTTCCAGTTGCAGCGTACTTTATGAATTCTGCAAGGATATACTCTGGAACTTGACCTTTGTCGACTGATGCAGGGGGTAGATGCCGTAGGATGACGTGCTCGTGTTGTATGATTACGTTTGTGGAAAGGGATCGAAAGTGTGGTCCGGAAGCCATTTGGATGAGCTCTCTTATGACTGACGCGCTAAGCTGTTTTGCAGAGTCTAGGGCTTGTAAAAGCAATGAAACGATGGGCTCGTGTCGTCTATTCATAGCTATAGAGAGCATCTCAGACCTACCCTCGATTATCGGACTCGCTCCCGCTTCTATGAGCAGTTCAGCTATGCGTCTGTTTCCAAGATATGCTGCAAATGATAGTGGTGTGGCCGACCGTATACCCATTCTGTATCCCTCATGGATCCAGTAGTTGGAAAGTGCGTGCACGTTTGCACCGAACTGTAGGAGTAGTTCGACCATCTTTACGTCGCTGTGGTACGCAGCGGATGTCAGAGGTGTTGTGGCATGTGAACTTGCCAAGTAACAGCTGTCACTGAGATAGTAACCCCAGCCATGGCAAAACTGTCTATCCACATCCGTACCCTTGAGTAGGAGTCGTCTCATCAAGCCCTTGCTTCCTGTCCTCAATGCTAACTCGAGTAGCTTGACCCCCTGTGTCCGCACCTCTTTGTCCAGGATAGCGTCCATAATCAGGGAGTAGAATCGAAAGTTCGTCCGTGCAAGTCGGCTTCGATCCCTGTCGGTCAAATGCGCGACAACCTCCAAAATAAGCACGTTTGGTAGCTCGGCGAGTCCAGTGAAACATGGTCGAGAATAGTCGAGGATAAAGTCGAGGGCTCGGTGGTTGACTTCACGCAGGTGGCGGAGGTCGGCTGGACTGAGGGGCGCAACGACATCGCGGAGAAGCTCATTCGGGAGGCTTAGTAGTCCTTGGGGTGGATGCGCCATGTCGTAGGTGTGTGATGGTCCGGCGAAGTTAATGTGGTGATGGGATGGCTTCGTGAAGTAGTACAATAACAGTCGCTTTGGCCGCCAACGGTAGAGGTGCGCGGGAGCTACAACAGAGCGTCTGATGAACTAGACGATGTATACGAAGCACCCAGGAGCGTACAAGTGGTGGTGGAAGAACAAGAGAAGTCCCTTTAATACTCTCGCCGTAGACGTTATACGCAAGGTGCAGCCCACTCCAGGACTAGCGCTTGAGTTGCCTGCGACAGCGCGCTTTGACCGGACCCTTTCTCGCAACATCTACTCTGCTAGTGAATACATGATCTCCGCGTTTAGCTTTGCGTTAGATAATAGTACAATATAGCCCTCAACTCTCTCAGTTGAGGTCTGCGAAGCGATCGCCCGATTGCACATTGTAGAGAAAGATCTCAGGCGGAAGGTGTTCAGACGGCACACCTGTGGCAAATGAGCTAATGATCTATAGAATACTCAAGGAGACCTTTTAACTACCTATCACCCATATTGCATGACCTCGTGTGCCATCTAGACATGCTCGTCCACTGCGCCAGGTGGCCCACCTGCGACGCCCGCTGGTCCAAATGTACCTCGATGACTCGCACCATTCTTGCCATCATTCACTTCTTCGTCGTCATCCCTATCGTCGAATGTGGCTTCTGACATAAAAGGACTCTTTGCCCTGATCTGACGCCCTTTCAGGAGTAGCACCACAGGCACAAGACTCAACGCTAGTCCTACAAAGCCCAGTAGACTGCCAGCCCAACCGAACCCCAAGTTCTGGAAAAGCGAATATGAGGCGAAAGGTAAAAAGGCTCCGAACGTGTTACGACCAAGCGATGCGGCTGAAAGTGCAGAAGCAGCGTATTTCTCGTAAGCATCCGTGAGGTAGTTGACTACACCCATGTAAATGGAGTAGATGCCCACACCAACGATGCAAATGCCTATCGCAGGCACGATCCAATGAATCTCTGGTCGACACGTCCATCCATACATGAACAATCCTGCAGTAAAGAGCAAGGAACCAGGGATGCTGGTATATAAGCGACCTTCGGGTATGGGTTTGCCAGGGCGTTCCTTGTTCTTGGAAGCAGTGCGAAGATACATCCAGTCTTGTAAGGGATTGATAAGCGTACCAATGAGCGCTCCAACCGTGATGGCCAATTGGACAAGACCCGTCTGGAAGGTACCAAAACCGTAGCTAGCGCTGAAGGTTTGGACGACTGAGGAAAAGAACAGGAAGAGGATACCCCAGGCGAAACTGATCCAAAGAGTGAAGAAGGTGACGACAGGCTCGGTGAATAGCATTTTGGTAGGTCGCATGAATGAAACCTTAAGCAGGCTGGCTATGGAGGGCTTCTCGAGCTCTGATTCTGCGTAGACTTCGCGACCGGTTTCTTTGCGAAGCTTCTGGGCGCGCTTTTTGAGGATGACGTCGCCACGAGTTTCCTTGAGGATGATGTAGAACACTGGGATTAGGGCCGCGTTATAGATGATTTGGATGTAGTAGATCCTGCATGTTCGTTAGTTGGGTCAATCAGATAATGCAGATGCTTACCATCGCCAAGGGGATTGTAGTCCAGTGGAAGGATAGCCAAGCTGTACGATTGCGCTACCCACGAAGGGTCCAAGAGCAATACCAGCTACGGACGTGAAGCCGAAAATGGACATTGGCAGACTCCGAGCTTTGTCACCTTTCCAAACATCGCTAATGCTGCCGCCCACGATGTTGATGGAAACGGAAGATGCGCCACCGCCGAAGAAACGGGTGACGACCAAGGTTGCAAAGTTATCGGCAAAGGCTGAGCCGAACAGGAACAATTCGAACACGATGTAAGCGACCTGCGCAGGGGTTAGCGAGTTGATGGGCTATGCGGCCACCCAAACCTACAAAATATCCAGGCATTCTACCAGTGTTTTCGGTCAAAGGTACGAATAGTAGTGGGAAAATAGCAGCACCCATATTCCACGAACACGTCGCCCAGTAAAGGTTTGGAAACGGCTCATTTTGAACGTTGAATAGTGTTGCCATGTACTCGTTTCCAGCGCCGTAAGACCCAGCCGGAAGACCTGTCAAGATGGAGATGAAGCAAACGGTTATTGTCAAGAACCATTTGTACTTGGTTGACCAGTTGAACCTGGTTTCCATCAGCAATTGAGTTCAGATGGAGTCTCGAGGAACATACGGGTTGTCAGGATCTTGTGGACCGTTCCAAGTGTGGAGTTCGACCTCTTTGCCATCTTTCATGCGGGTTTGCACTTCCTTCTTGCGTCGAGGTAGAGATACACTTTCTATCATGGATTAGTGAACATGCAATTAGGGAGGTTCACTTTGAAGGCGTACCCGTGTTGTCATTGAGCGACGAATGATGTGACATGGTGATGTCGCTTTCAAAACACTAGCCGATCGTGAGTTGAGTGAAGGTTAGAAACGCTGTGGAGGTCGAGCAAACTGAAGGCTGTTGCATTGGTAAAGTATAGCGGTATGATGAGATCCCGAGTGATCTCATAGTACTTGAGCCGCCGTTTGCTGGCCTTGTGACAAGCGTTCGGCGCTGGGCGGACATCATGCCGTTGAAATGTGTGGAACGCGATGACGTTAGCGTGACCATATCGTGGAACCTACCACTGGCGTGGGAAGATCGCCCGCTAATTGACGTGACTTGAGCAAAGGCCAAGAGGGAACTGGTGGATCTTCTCCATATCGTCACTCCGTCGTGGCTTCATGGGACAGCACCGGGATCAGCTGGGTTGGTGCCCCGTCAGACGCCTACAAGAAATCTATGCTTTGCAAAGAATGTTGCATACTTCCAGTTGAAGTATACGTATATCATTCTTCTTTCAATTAGTGAGCTACAGCGCTTTGTATGCTGCAGATTGCGACACGGCCAACTCTCGAAAATGGCCTCACGTGATCGCGCGATGAGATTCGCGATGGCTGGGGGTCTCTACGTGGCCCGGTAACCATGACCCACGCGTGTAGCCACGTCCATAGCGCCCTTAAGGAAGCATCGCCCACACGCATTGAGGCTTGCTGTGGGCACGATTCTATGCAGCTTCGCTTTCGGGGTATATATTCGGGGCATATCTAGGAACACTGTAAGAAGCACGATGTGCATTCGCATCCTAGAACGAGGTTTCGCCCTACAACGGAGTTAAGAGTCGATATGACCAGATACGCGTCTATCCTCATTGCGGCAAGAACGCGCATCCAGATTACTAGGCACATGTGATGTATAAGCAAGATCGAGCGGTCGGTCTTCGCTGCTTTCGATCGGATTCGATGATGTTCTACAAGATTGGAAACGTAGACGGCGAGCATGAACCTTGGAAGAGCAGCCGAGGTCGGAGCCTGACGATGGATCGCAAATGACTGTAAGCATGCGGTATGGAGTGGATTTTAAGAAACAAGGGATTGAAACGGATTGGCGTGCCGGAATCGAGCAGTAATTGAAAGAAAGACGGTGGTTGGAGGCGGATTGGCAGTGTCGCGTGTTGCCGAGGTTTTGCCATCGGGGCTATCGGAGGAGCTTGGGCGGTGATGATGTCGAGATTCGGAAGGATGCTGAGCAATTCACACGCCGCCACTACAACCTGTCAACCTTCATTGCACCCCACCCGACCCTCTTCTTAGATTTCCCGGTCATACTACGAGTGCCACGTATCCCCACGTGCACTCTTTTCATTCTTTGTATAGTATTACCACCACCCACGCCGACATAACGCCATTTCACCATGTTCCACGGACAGAACTTGCCGTGGCGGGCGGCCCTTCGTCAGGCCTCACGATCAAATGCGAGGACTATCACCACTAGAGCCTCGTCGCGCCATCTCCCCGCACAATGCACGGCATCTCTGGTTGCCCGGCAACATCACCGGTGTTCCTCGCCGCCCGCCGCGCTCTTCGCATACCGCAGCTTCTCCACAACGTTGGGTAGACGGAAGGAAGATGATACAAAGGCGCCACCAGAGCCGCTGGAGGAGGCCAAGGAGGAAGAAACAGAGGAGTCCAAGAAGTTGAAGGAGCAGAAAAGAGCAGAAGAGCTCGAGGGCAAGAGCGATGCGCCTGAGCCAATACCACCAAAGGCGAGTTCTGGGCGAGGCAGCGCAGCAGGAGGAAGCGGTTCAGGCGGCGACGGCGGTGGCAAGAAGCGAAAGGGCGCCGAACGAGCCCTCGTCAAGCCTTCGATACCCGACGTCTACCCGCAAGTCATGGCGATACCGCTCGTCAAGCGTCCGCTGTTCCCGGGGTTCTACAAGGCCATCACAATTAGAGATAGAGAGGTCGGACAGGCAATTGCGGACATGGTCAAGCGAGGACAGCCCTACATCGGTGCATTCATGTTCAAGGATGATGGTGCCGACAAGGACGTCATCCACGATCCCAGCGAGGTGTACGACGTGGGCACATTTTGTCAGGTCACGAGCGCATTCCCCGTGGGTGCTGATGACAACTTCGCCATGACCTGCGTCCTCTACCCACACCGCCGTATAAAGATGACTGGTCTCAAGTCGCCACCGCAAGCGAAGGAGGAGTCATCTGTGGCTGAGAGCACACTGAGTGAGAGTGCGGACACCCCAGAGCCGGAGGCAGGCGCAACACAATCCAAGGGCGATGTTGTCGCTAGCTTCGAGGAGGCAACAGAAGAGGCCAAGGCAGCCCAGGGAGCGCTCGTACCCACCATTCTCAAGGGTCGCAATGTCAGCATTGCCGATGTCGAGAACATGGTCGAAGAGCCATTCGATCTGAAGAGCAACAAGACAATCCAGGTGCTGGTCAACGAGATTGTCAACACATTCAAGGGAGTGGCACTGCTCAATCCGCTGTTCCGCGACCATGTTTCGACCTTCTCTGTCCACACCACCATGAACGTTGGGGAAGATCCTGTTAAGCTTGCTGACTTCGCCGCCGCGGTAGCACAAGCCGAGTCGCATGAATTACAGGATGCGCTTGAAGAGATGGACATTGAGAAGCGTCTCAGCAA